CTGGGCTGGAGATGAATAGAGGTGTAAAGGTTATTTTTTCCTCTCTATATGTGAATCTGAATGAGAAAAATAAAAACATGTTTTCTCCTGTCTTGAATCCGGTCTTTGATTGCTACAGTGTCCTTGAGCGCACAGGCATCCTCTGCAGCGAGGACATCAAGTGCTTCATTCAGCGGTGTTGACCGTGTGATGGTCGATTAAAGAGAAGAAAAAAGACCAGAAAGTAGACTTAAGGAAAACTTGGAGAACCAAGAGGCGCAGAGATCCGAATAAAACCACCAAATAATGAGGTCAAATAATAATAAGAAACGGTCAAACAGAGAATTTATCGAGGATTGAAAGAGTTTTATGTGTTAGTGATTTTTTTCTCTTATTTTATGATAGAAAAAAAATAATTTCCACTCGGCATAAACTCATCCTAGTTGTTTATGAATGACATTCAAGTTTTGGTGATTTTAAAATTGGTAATTAAATTTACAAATCAGTCAGTACAGTGAGTAAGATAGAAAAAAAAATCCACTATTTACCGCTCACTTTAATTGAACAAACGCCCAGACGCATACGCATTAATGCTTTTGGTGTTTAAAACTGTTTATTTATATTCTCCTTTTACGCAATAACGCGCTATAGCGATTTTGATCATTATAATTATCAAAATCATCACAAGCCGTAGTTTTGAAGTTTGAAGGTCGCAATCTTCATCTTGTTTTTCTGCTGACTGAATATTTACATTTATTTAAACCAGTAACTGCTCAGAGTACACTTTAAAAAAAACGGACAAATGTAAGACATGGAGATTGAAAAATAATTGCTTGGGGGACGACGGAGCTCGTGTGCTGACCACATTTTTTGTTCAGAGAGTCATGCATTTTATTTAAACATGTTACGATCAAGAGTTTATGTGAAGAAAACAAGGAATTGCATTTTTAAAAATCTGTGAACAAATCTAGTGAATAATCGTTTCAGTTGTATTTTTATATTACAGATTTAAAACAGATTCGATTTAAATCTGGATAAAATCTCCAGAGAGGAAAACAATCACTAAATGTAAACTAAAAAGTGATTTTTAATATAAAGCATCATTGTGAATGTCCGTTTGATAAGAGTTGTGCTTTTCAGTTGCGCATCTAAATTAAACCAGGAGGAGGCGCTGATGAGCCTTTTTACGAGCCTTGTCAGGCTCGTAATAAAGCGTAACATTTGTTCAGGTTTCAGCTGTTTTATTTCGAAACATTTTTTTTTCATTTGATAAATAGTGATGTGGGGATAAATTATAAACCTGAAATAACTACAATAGTAATTATAACAATGTAAATCTACTGACTTGCCCCAATCAAGATTCAGATTGGATTTGTAGAAATGGCACACAAATTTGTAAAAACATGAGATGATACTAGTTCATGGTTGATGCCATCACACAACAGATAAATATATTAATTTAATCTGACATAGCAGTTTGCTTAATAATTTAATTGGGCCAGAACAACAGATTTATTTCTCAAATAATCATCATACACAACTCCATTTTCTTCTTCCTTAAGGTATTTTACTTGTACAGAGATGGAAGCTTGAGAATATCCCTGCAGTCATCAGGCAAGAACTACATGAAGAGTATAGAGTAGAGTTGCCATACCTGCAGAAAAGCAGCACAACTACAGGATGAGTCCACACATGTTGGATTCCAACAAAACAAAAACAAAAGGGTATAGCCTATTACAAGTCCCACCTTTAAAAAAAAACATAAATCTCTACATGTACCTTCACCTTTACACTATTAGACAGCTCTCCCCTTCTTACATATCTTCTTATCTGATTTTATTTATCATTTAATATATAGTGGATAACAAAAGTGGACACACCTCTGTGGATAGAAATCAACACCAAAAGTTTCCCACCTTCAATTTGTAACAAACTTCTTAAAGTATTCAAATGATGTATAGACAAATACAAATATCTCAGAGAGGAAACATAAAACATAGGCAAAAAAATACTGCAATAACCTGGTTGCATAGGTGCACACATTAGACAAATAATTTGTTTGTGCATTTTTTGATAGCACTTGTTTTGTATACAATCATTCTAAAAGATTATGGAAGATTGTGGCATTGTCTGTAAGCTAAATTCTTATGCCACAATTCCAAAAAAAAATATGTTTTGGACAATAATCATACTTATTATAATAACAAATTATAAATGCTGGATCACCAATGAAGGAAGCGTTGAACAAGGGAGGGAGACTGGGCATTACTGAGGAGTAAACAGAAGGAGTTCAAAGTGAAGAGATGGAAAAGAAGAGTACAGGAAGAGTCTGGAGAGCAAACTACAGAGGAACATTATCAGGGATGTGTGGTTTGGGATGAAGGGGATCATAAGCTTCAAGCTCAGGAAGGATTTAACGGATGAAAGTCTGGGCAGAGCCAATGAATGGTGCTCATTCTTCAGTAGTTCAGAAACAAGCTCAGCATCCTCTTCTCCTGCCCCCAGCCAAACAGACATTCAACTTGTGACTCAGCTTTCCTGTCACACCTCAGTTTTATCTTACACCTCAGTCATGGACTCTTCTGTTTCTACGTTTGGCTTCAACCAAATCAGGAGATGCTGCTGCTCCCTTGCCTCTCCACCCTTCTTATCGGTCTCAGGAAACAGCTGGATAGGCTGGACAGGAACAAGGCTGCAGGTCCAGATGGTGTCAGCCCCAGAGTCCCGGAGCTCTGTGCAGAGCAGCCATGGGATTCTGCAAAACCTCTTCAATCACAGCATGATCCAAAAAAGGGTTCTGAGGTTGTGGAAGACATCCTGTCTGGTTCCAATTCCACAGAAAACTAATCCATTAGTCATTAACAACTATAGACTTGTTGGTCTGACATCCCACATCACGAAGGTCTGGTGAGACTCCTTTTGGCCCATCTGTGTGAACAAACGAGCACATAACAAGACCCACTGCAGTTTGCTTTTTGCCGAGTTGGAGTTGCAACTTCAACACATCCACTGTTACTAAGCAGAAAGAACTGTAAGGGTCATGCTCTTTGATTTTTACAGTGCATTTAACAAAAGTCAGCCCAATTTGCTTTGTCAGAAACTCCAACAGACACAGATGGAGGCCAATCATTGGGATCAATGACTACCTGACAGATCACAGATGGAGACTGAAGCAGACCAGGAGCACCACAGGGGACTGTACTCTCACCATTTCTTTTCACTCTGTACACTTCTGACTTTCATTTCAAAACAAAGTCCTGTCATCTAAAAAAACAAACTCAAATGACTCTGCAGTCGTCAGGTGAATCAGAAATGGCCAAGAAGCTGAGCTCAGAGAGCTGGTGGATCGCTTTGTGGCATGTGGAAACAATCATCTCATCTTGAATATGAATAAAATAAGGCGATTATTGTATATTTAAAAAGAAACAGGGTTAGATCAAATCTTATTTCATTCATGGAAGGAGAAGTGGAGATGGTGGAGGAATGTAAATACCTCGATGTTCGCCTGGACAACAGACTGGACTGCAGACTCAACAGTGAAGTCATCCACAGAAAAAGAGAGAGCAGGCTGTACTTTTGAGGAAACTTTGGTCCTTCTGTGTTTGCATTAAGGTGCATCCTATATCCTATAAATGTGTGATATCTAGACTTAGCTTCAGCCTTTCCAGCTGTTTTGGACTTAGCATTAAGAAATTACATAAAAGTGAGAAGGTAAAAGAACATTAATTGTCTTAATAATAATAAATGCTATAAAACAAAAGTCTTTGCTTTTTATTTACATTTCTTCTTTCAAACGTTTCAGGTTTAAAGTTATACAAATGTGTTAACTCTGTCTGCATAGTTTCTGGCTGATTAAAAGTCAAATATACACTGTCATCCTTGGTTCTACACAATCAGTTCTCATATTCCAAACAAAACCTGTGTTGTGTCTACTTCAGTTTAATTGTTTCAGTTTCACTTTCTCCTAAAAAGTCACTTTGCAAACCTGACAAAGACACAACATGTTGATTTTAGCTGCATTTTCCTTTAGCAGGACATTTGGTATCAGATTTATTCAGTTTATGACCGTCCAACCATGAGGTTGTGAAGCTTTACGAGTAATATTAAACTGTAATTACTACATTAATAGTGTCTACAGTTCATATCATAGGAATACAGTGGGGCAGACAGATTTGTACGTACAAATGGGGTTATTTGTAGCAGTGAGTTACCAAAGTCATGAAATCTGCTTTAGTGAAACTATCCCAGAGTTAAAAAGACCTTGAAATTCCTTTCATCATTCCCAGAGGTAAAGAGAGGGAAGGAAAGCCAACTCTCCCCCATGTCGAGGTGTGGGCGACTTCTAAAAGCCAAAAAGTTTTTCAGGGTTGACTCTTAACTTTTCTCTCAAAGTTAAGGGGGGAAAAGTCGGCTGTGAATGTAGAAGGACAAAAACAGCTGTGTTGGAATCCGACACAGGACTTGTTGCAGCTGTTGTTTCCGAGCAACATGCAAACACTGCTTATAGACTGGGGAGGATTGTGTGACTGGCGTTTCATCTGTTAGACAACATCCAGATTTCATTCCTGGTTTTACTAACATATAAACAGCATGTTTAAATGACATATACCATAAGAAAGGGTTGCAGAAATAGTAGGACTCTATTTAATGAAAACTCATAAATCAGTCAGGCAGCAATTTCTTAAAATTTACTCTGGACATTATTGTAAATATTCACAGAAATAGAACTGTGCACTGATAGCATCAAACATGTTTACATACTTTAAATGCTGAAATTAGTCTTTTAATCTCAAATAGAAGTCAAGTCAGTCTTGCAACAAATCTGAAGAAGTGTCTTCAATCAGAGGCTTTTTAAAATTTGTAGCAAAACTGACCACTACTGGAGATTCTTCCAGTCCAAAGCACCAACATCCATGACAACTCGTTGAAGATACTTGGATCATATGAGTTGCAACAACGTTTTCTTTCACTTTGGTATAAATAAAATATTTGTGAATAGAACTGGATTAATGATAGAAATGAACACTCTCACATTAAACATTTATTATTCCATAAACCTTATAAACATTTAACAACAAAGCATTCAATTCAACATGTAAAGAATATTTAGATAGCATCTAAGTTCATGTTAGTAATTTCAGTTTTAGTTTATTGCATCTTACTGTACATGTAGATGTGTGGATTGCATTTCTAGCATGACTTCTCATAACAACATAAAAATGCATTAATTAAAAAAATATATTTAAGAATAAACCTTTGATTGAACAGCGAGAGGTAATACTGAAAGCTTATTAATCTCTTTTACTAATACACAATGAGAAGATTATATTTCATTGTATATGTTTTAACCTCTTTTCTGAATGGATAAAGTAGGACGTGATGGTTTCCTCCTGGTGCTTTTAGTTTGATAAATGAGTTTTCCATCCTGAAGAGCCACTATCCTTCAATTATTAGACGCATCTCTTCTCCAGTATATGGAAATTAAATGACTGAATTCCTTCATGAGCCTTTAGTTATTTAGCTTTGCATTCAAAGACTAACAAAAGTAGGTAAACCCTACCTATTGTCAAATTCCAGAATAAATATAACACAAATATTTATATCTATGTATTTTCCATGACTTACTGGTTATACTGTGTGCTCGTGTGCTCCAATTGCTCACTCTTTTAATACAGTTGAGCTCAAAATTATTTGGATTTTAAAATAATTTTTGATTATTTATTTAAAGTTTGATTCTGATATGGAGTTAGACAGACATCACTCAACAGGACAATGTAAAAGAGTGCCAATTTTGAAAAAGAAAAGTATCTACTTATATTTAGATTTCAATAAAAATGCAAAGTCAAAAATAATTTACACACTCCCTTAAAAGAAACAGAAAAACTATTGGGGTCACTGCAATCAAATCTTTCTTGCTATTTCAGTTTAGCTTTTTTGCATGTTTCTTCTGGTAGTTTGACTGTTTGTCTTTGGTGATGACCTCCCACCTCTCGCCAAAGCACCAGCCCAAATCTTTGTCTGACTTTGGCTGGCCCACTCTAACCAAGATCACTCTAAAACTAAATCTAAGGTGGGTATGAATAATTATGAGCCTAAATGCATTTTGTGCATCACATCGAGTACTGACGGTTTTCTTTCTCTCGCTAAACAAAAACAGATGAATTTATAAGCTTCCATTAACTCGTTTTGCTGGCAAGGACTGTGCATAGCATTACCATGACAACCAGTCATGTGTATACAGTACAACACTCAAAGGGACAATATTATTCACTTACACAAATGAACTACAGTTTCAGATTTCGTCAACAGGGAGAAAGATGTGAGCAGGATTTGAACACCAGATCTTGAGTTCAAGCCAAGAATCAAGTCTTAAGAACGAGTCCAAATAAAGTCAGGAATCTGTTTGTTGTGTAACCAAAGTGTTCCTGAAATCTGTGTCTCTGTATCTAAATACTGCTGTGGTGGCAAATCGTACACAGAAAAAGGAACCGTGTCTTTGATAAAAATAACCTTTGTGCATAGACGTGTCACTACAGTAAGAACTGAAAAAGTCTTTGAACATGTTAAAAAATATTTTCACATAAATCAGTAAATAAAAAAAACATACTTATAGAAAGTAAAATCTATGACAAAATAGTCTTTCAGGGGAAAGGTTTCACTACAAGTAGAAATACATTACACAGTTATTACTTTGTATTCTTCGCTATCTCTCAGCCTCTTCACTGGCTTTGGGAGCCGAGCCCTTACCCACCAGACCCAAACTGCTGTTCGGTATACTTTGATTGTATTTCAGGTTTCTTCTCCCTTTAAGAATGAAAATCATTTTGGAGCGGTAGTGATCTCCGGCCAGGAAGTACAAGATCGGATCGATGCAGCTGTTGATGCTTGCCAGCGGCCTGGTGATTTTGTAGGTGAAGTTCACGATGTTGAGGAACTCACAGTTGAGATTCAGCACACGGGATGTGTAGTAGAGAGTCCGTGTGATGTGAAATGGGACGAAGCTGACTGCGAAAACCACCAACACCACGATGATGAGCTTGATGGACTTCTGCCGCGACCTGGAGGTCTGCTGGCTGGAAGATAATCCTTGTCTGGGCTGACACAGGGTCCGCGCCATTAGACAGTAACACACCAAAATGACTATGAAGGGGACACCAAACAGCAGCACCATGACTACAGAACTGTAGTCAACGTACTGTTCGAAGGCTTCCTGACTGGTTGTGTCATGGCACAGCGTGTCATTGTCCCTCCTTGAGGTGGTGACGAATATGAGGTTGGGCACCAGGCAGACCGTCACGACACACCACACCGAGCCACACACCAGGTGAGCGTGACGGGACTTTACCTTAGTCAGCACTTTGATGGGGTGGCAGATGCCAAGATACCGATGCACACTGATGCATGTGAGGAAGAGGATGCTGCAGTAGAGATTGGCGTAGAAGAGGAAGCGGACTATTTTGCAGGCCGCCACGCCGAAGGGCCAGTCACTGCGGTTGGCGTAGTAGTAGATTAGAGTGGGCAGCGAGAGCACGTACAAAAAGTCGGACAGGGCGAGGTGGAACATGTACACGGTGCTAGGGTTCCACGGGCGCATCTTTATGAACATCCACAATGCCGTGGCATTGAGAACGAACCCAACAACAAAAACCAGGCCGTAGGACACAGGAAGCAGGATGTATTTAAACTCCTCATTAAAACGGCAGCTGGAGTTAAAGACTGATGTGAAAACCTCCGACTGGTTGTGTGAACTAGAGCTCCTGATGACCAGCTCCATGTTAGCCATGTTAAACACAGTAGACGACAAAACCTAAGAAGAAAAGAAAACATGGAGATATCAGGGTTTTCGTTGCATTAACACGTCAAAACAAACATCCATCGTCTACAGCCGCTTGTCTCTGCAAGGTCAATGGGTTGCTGGTGCCTAGCTTCAGCTGGCATTGGGTCAAAGGAGTGGGGCACTCTGGGTGGGGCAACACAGAGACATACAGAGTGAATGCACACTCACATGCGCAAATCTAAGGGCGGCTTAGAGCACTCACTTAACCCCCAGTCATGTTTTTAGACTGCGGGAGGAAGTCAGAGTACCCAGAGAGAAACCCTGCATGTATGTGGAGAACATGCAAAAATCTATGATGGCTTTAAAGCTTTATAATCCTTCATGATCTCCACTTACGTTACGGAATGAGAATTAAAAAACATAAATCACTAATCTTTCCACATCTAGAACCAAAATCCTAGACAGCAACAGACAGGACTTCATTGCTGCTCATGCTTGTTCTGAAAATATTACTCTAGATGCAGCACAAACAAATGAATTCCTGTATATCTTTAAACATGTCTTAATGTGATCAACCCAAAAGTCTAATTACATTCCGTAATGGAAAAAGCTATCCACTACAGAAGCCAAGAGGTTTGTCCGCATGTATTTATTCCCAATCATTTTCTTGAGATAACGAGTTAATTTCCTATTTTCTGCAGATATTTTTTCCAATGGTTTTCTTGAGATTAGTTCATTTCTCAATGTTTTCTTGAGATAAATTAATTTCCTGATGGTATTTTACAATTCTAAGAATTACTTGCTTTAATTAAGTTTTTCTAGTAGCTTTTCCAGCATGAACTGCATGTTTAAGATCATACAACAGCATTTCAATCTGATTTGACTGCAGTTTGCAAGGCCACTCTAAGACCTGTGTTTTGTTTTTATTTCTGTGCAGTTTTGACATTGACTTGCTGATGTACTTTGGACTAGAATTACCTTTTAGAGAGTAGAATTAATGATTCTATCAATCACAGCAAGTCATCCAGGACCTGAAGCAACAAAACAGCCCCGGATATGCTTACCTGTAGATATAATGTTCTTTTTCTGAGACATATGCTAGTTTTGCACCAGAAGTAGTGGAAAGCCTACCAGCAAAAAGGTTTCAATTTTGTCTTGTCAATCCACAGAATATTTTCTCGCAGCTCTTGAGGACCACAAAGATACTTTTTGGTAAATGTGAGACAGGCCGTTGTGTTCTTTTTGAGCAACAGCAGATTTCCCCTTTGAACTTTCACATGAGTGCCAGAAGAAAAAGAAAAATAAAAAGTCATTTTTTTCAATTATACTAGTTTTGATCTAAAACTACAGTAATATGATACCATCAAAACTCAGTGAGTTTCTTGGCTCCAAAAGGTCACACAATAGGAAAGCTGTCACCGATTCATAACATAGAAATGTCACTTGGTATTGAGAGACACTTATAGGACAAAATACTAGAATAGTTCATCTCAACTACTTTTTATATTTTTCTCTGATCAGTTACAACACAATAACTTCTGACATTATTTGCAAAACACATTCAGAGAGTTTGATGGAGTTTAAACATTGAGCTAATCTTAAATGCAACACAGAGCTGAACACAGATATTTACATGCTGTATAAAAAACACCAATCTTTTTTCCTGTTACATCAGACTTAATTAGCGTGGTTTCTGTGAGCAAAATGCAAAAATGTGTGAATGTGTTTGTAAGTGAAGTGTTTTGGGATCCTCTGGACTTAATCAAGCTTTGTACAAACACATTTATCATTTCCAAATTCAAAAAAGTGATTAAAAAAATCAGTTCCTGTTTATTTTGGCTTTTAGCAATTCTAAATAATTTTGGTAATCCAAAATGATCTAAAAGAGAAAAAGTTTAGAGTAATATCATATCAGACAGCAATAAAAAAAAATGCTTTGCGTCATTAATTATATATATTACACAACTGCATAAGAGTCATCTGCATATTTGAGCATGATCATCTCTAATGCCTCTTTAACTACTTCTCTGTATTTAATTAATAAAGAAAATTGCAGTCATCCTAAAACCGAACCTTGTTGTACATCCATCTTGCAGTTTTGAAAACTTAAGCGAACCCAAGCATATAATGTATAGCTTAATGTTTTACAACACCCAAACCGACGTACTGCAGTTTATTTTGATCTAGTTTTTCACACATCAACAATCATTTACATTAATACCTGTAAGACATTCTCTTGATGTTGTCACAGAACAGGCTAACTTAAACTAAGCTATTGTAGGATGTGGCTTAGAGTTGCTTGTTAAATTTAATCAGGGTTTCCCTGAAAATAAAGTCATTACGAAACATCCGTCTTTCATTCATCACAAGTGATGTTTTCACAGATGTGCAACTTGCTTGCGGTTTTCATACTAATGAACCCCAGATGTTTGCTTTCTAGTTATCTCCATTAAACAAGACTATCCAGTCTGACATGCTGGTCAAGAAAAACACCAAATCATTTTAAAAATCTGTGAAAATGAGTAGGGAAAAGTTTACTTTGGTTTAAGTTAATTTATCTCAAAACTTTAAGGTTTGTGTCTCAAATTACCACAAAGTAATGTTTAACTCAGTGAGTGATCCAGGTTTGAAGGAGAAAGAAACACTCACACTGTAAGAATTTCACAACTCTTACAACCGCGTAAGAGTTGTAAAAATATAACACATGCCAAAGACTTTACATCACATGGATGATACTCTTCTTCAGAAAAGGTAGTAAAAACAGGTTCCTCTTGTTTTTCTTTTTGCTTCTGGCAGCAGTTTGTCATTGTTATGTTGTTTACTTCATACCTTAATGAAGGAGTAAGACCAAGCTCCTCCTGGAAGTTTCATAAAAACACTTTTCTGGTTGGGGGGTAAAGATTCGGCATTTCCCTTTCTCATCAAATGCCCAGTTAAATCATAAACCCAGAAACATATTCCAAAATGATCTACATGTTTTACTTAAATTTACAAGACACTGTAAAATGGACACGTTGAAGCTCATACCAGCACACAGTAATAAACTCCATTATGATAATAAAGGCTCATTTTCTGTAAGGTACTGTTTTCTAAACAAACTTAAACCCTACAACATAATCCACATTTCAGTGAATTCATTAAATTAATGGGCAATAAATCCCACATTAAGAAAAAAAGTGTTTATTATTTTGTTTGTTTTTAAAAAAGAAATCACTGTTGCCACATTTATTGCCACTCCTAAGACGTCCAATGAAGATATGCTTTACTCAATCACTTTAGCAGGTTTTAATTAATCTACAACTTTCTGTTATAGAAACAGAAAACAGAAAAAGAAAAAAATGCCATTCAACTAAAGAAGATATGCCTTGAACCCTTGCAAAGCAATGCAAATGGCTGCAAAAAAAGCTATTCATTTTGCTGATCTACAGTCGGTAAAACAACTGGAGGGTTGCACAGAAGAAATCTAAATTTTTTCCCACCGCTCACTGTGAGGGGAAGGTCGAAGAAGGAAACAAACAAAAACAACATCATTATTAGAGGAGAGATTATGCTCGAGCCGAACCAGGATTTTATTTGTAGTTGTTTTTCTTTACAGAGGTGCTATTAAATGTTGCAGGCGCTGTGACCATGTGTGCAACGTTCCACCATTTCACTGCTAAGCACAACATTCCAGTGTTTTTATGCCACCGCACTACACACTCTTGTAACTTATTCTAAGCAGACCACAATCAAAACAACCAGTTTCAACGTTTAATAAAGCTGGTTCTAGATCCAACTGGTTCTAGAACTAGTTCATAATGTGGTTGAGGAATTGCTTTTTATGAACAATTACTCCTTCTGGTTTTCTGCAACAAAGTTGGCTGCTACTTTTTCACTTCTGGACTGTTGTCATTGTGCCAATAAGGTGTTGTTGTTTTCTTTACAACTGGGGGAAAGTGTTAGCATCTCAAAAGCTCACATGATATCTGAAGTATGACCTCAAAACCCAGAGGAGTACGAAAGGAGACTTCATCGCTGCAGAGCACCAAGTTTCTCTGTCTGGTTTTCTATCCAACCCTAAAGTGAGACTTAAGGGGGAATGGCAAAAGCAAATGATGCAGATTAGCAATGCTTGCTAACAAGGGATGGTGTCATCCAGGTCATGTTATCATGAAATATTGTCTTTCTGTGTCCTGGATATTCAGCTGTTTGCATGTCATTAGTGTCATATGGCAACAGTGTCCTCAGTCAGAAGCTTCTTCGGATTCGTTGCATGACTGACCGCTACTGGAGATCTTTCTTGCCCATCTCACTTCCATCTACAACTACTCTATTAAGATACTTGGACGATATTACTTATGAAAACATTTAAAGTGTTTTTAAAATTAAACGTCCTTATTACATTACATTAAGTTCTGTAAGTTGATCTCAGCCTAAAAGAAATACAAATAATTATCAGATCCTCTCACTAAATAATGTTTGTAAACATGTTTTTAAATAAAGCTAAATATGTAGCCCATATTTAATTTTTTTAATGAAACTCACTTTCTCTTTATTTCACTAACTTGTTCCGCTCTGTTGAGAGCTTACACTGGGGAAACGGAAAGAAATACAGAAAAAAGACCGACATTGTTCGTTTTTATTATCCTCGATTATGGTTTTCATAGATAGCTCATATTCCTGTTCGCGTTTTTATCCGAACTAAGCATCTGGTTTTGCGGATTTTGCGCAGTTCAGTCAAGCCTTTGAAAACAAAGTTGAGTGAACGCGGCTGCCTGCACTCACCTAAGCAGGATCCTAACCGCGTTGCTGTCAGGAAGCTCTGATCCTCGAAAGTTGTTTATTTCCCTTCTCCACTTGTTTCTGATGCCTGGAGCAAAAAAAAAAAAAAAAAAAAAAGCGCTTCGTTGGTGCCTTTCCGTTGGTGTCCAGAAGCGACTGTTTAGGTTCACGCTTGTTGCAATTTGTGGTAGGAAGCTGGGGGTTGGAGTCCATGGCAGCGCAGCCAGAGACGTCAGTCAACACTGAGAGGAGTGAGCATGGGGGAGGAAATGGAAGCTGGGGAGGGAGCAACCCAAAACGAAGAGAAAGAGGAGAAATTGTAGGGTGTCATCTTTCGTTTAGAGCTTTAATAATCCCGTTTATGAATGTAAAATACACGCCATGTCAATTAGAGTAAGGGAGAAAATGGAGTTAAAGCTATATTTCTGTAGAGTAGTGGTGCCCAAGGGTTGGGGTCAGGACCCTAAAGTGGGTCGTGGAAATCTGGGTATGCGGCCATAAACACTTCTCCAGATATGACTGCAAATGACAACCAAGCATCTGCAATTTAAGGTTCCATTTACCAGGAAGTGGAGGGAGAATGATAAATTCTTAGCACAACCATAATCTCCACGTGTATTATGACCAAAAGCTTCAGTAGCTCCATCAAATCACCAAAACACCAAAACACAAAGGGCTACACATTTATAAACTGGAATCTGACTTTTCAAAGTTACTTTGGAGAAAAGTCATACTCTCTTATACCAGCTTCATCTTCTATAAACGCTGTTTCCAAGTCTGATTGTTATGGAAGCCCACTTCCAACACTGATGATAAAAAGTGTATTATGGCATATCTACCTCATCATTATGAGATAATTTGTCTATTTTTTTCCTCTTCTTTTGACATGGGATTTTGCCAAAACTTGCTGGATTTCACGGTTTGTAAATCCACTTCTGAAGTATTGCCTCAGGTTAGCAACATCCATTTCTTCCTATGAATTTGTCATTCACCTCTTTAGAATGCCACAGAGCCAATTAAAGGTAACTTGTAGTTACAAGATACTGTCTCATAATGGTGAGACACAAGTTTGTTTTTTTTTCATCAGTCACAGAAATGGGCTTCCATAGGTTACAAACACTGCCAACTCTTTTAATTTTCTCAAGTAGTGTTAATAAATCTCTTCTTTTAAAACAGGATAAACTTCCTTTTTTTCAGTGCCACTGTAAAAAACAGTAACCAACTGATTTTAAAATGGCAGATAAAAGTTATGGTGCAAGAATGCTGCCAACACAAAGGTGTGATGAATTCAATAAACTCTTTTCCTCAAATAAGTTACACAAAAATTCAGAATACAATGGAGACAGTAATCAGATTACTTTAACATTTATAGTAAGAATACCAATTGACTTGAAAATACGTCATACTTGTTCTGACTGGATAATTAAACCTGTTTTTCATGGTTGTGTTGAAATGTCAGTTAGAACCTTGTTTGCCCCCTTCAGCAAGTTATGGCCCGTCTTGATTAATGGTTTATAAAAACAAATCATGTTTGGTTTTTTTCTCTGCAGCCTTATCAGAAAGGAGGTCTACTGAACGAAGCAACGTTTTGACCAGTTTTATATATTTCTCCATCACTTTGGGAAAAGCAAAACAGAATTTTAATCTGAATATCTAACAGAAAACACATTTTATTTCTCTTTTTTCCAGTTGGGATGATACAACATTCTTGCATTCCCACAATTTTGTCTTTCACAATCCATTCTGTCAAGTTTTAAATCATTCTAGTTTTCAAAGAGGAGCACACATTTGCCTAAATGTGCTTTTTGCAAACCAGAACCACATTTTGATCAGGGAAAAGAACTCACACACAATTATTCAAGGTGTAAATGTTCAAATGTTTAATCATCTGGGGATCTTACCAGTCACAAGTCTGCTTCCAGATGCTGCAGCATAAAACTAAAAATAACAGATGTTGTTATTGAAGCAGACTGCAACAATATATTGCTGTTAAAATAAAAATAATGCCAACTCAACTCTGGGAGTGTTTTCTGAAAACCAGCACAGGAAAAGTTTTGTCAAAGTTGCGGCAACTACTAGCAACTTCACATGACTTTGATATTCAGAAAGTATTAAAGTAATGTTATAACTTATAAATGAAGATAATTTATCTGACAATGACCAAGGAGTTAAAATTGCAAAAAAAAGTGAAGGGGATTTTTTTTTCTTTTCGTTTCAATATTTTTTAAAATAATAAATTTGGGTAATGTAACAGTTTACAAAACATTCTGGGGGTAAAATGTTCAAAAATCAACAAAGTAAGTAATAAACATTACAACAGCATCTGAAACCATTTGTTTATATATACTGTACAAAATTGCAAATTACTTTTTAAACTATCTGACATTAAATCACTTAATCAAAACTTGAGTTACATAGAGGCATACCTGTGTCCATACTTTAGGCAAGACCAGAAAAACATAATTATTATTGTATTATTCCTTGTGTGACATCATATCATATCATAAAGTGAATTATTGACCTCTAAAGGTTTATTAAATCTGTCCAAGGAATTATGTGCAAGTATAAATACCATTGGAATGTCCATCCATTATACTGTTCACCAAATAGATGGGCTTATGGAAATACTCTCAACATTTTTGGTCCCAGTAATGAAGTTTAAAAGTCAGTTCTAAATACCCAGGAAATGCTTGTAAACTTATAACTTAGAGGCCAGTGGGGGAAAAAATGGTCTGATAATTATTTCTCATTAATGTTGAGATGTTTGAAGAAAATTACTGAACGATGCTGAGAGAAAATCAAACAATTTCCAGGAAGTTTACACAAAGAAATACACAAAATTAGAACAAAACAGACATCCATCATGTGATTCAGTCGGGTCCAGTTTCTGGCTCGACTGGAAGTTTTGTTTCACATCAAACACACCCTTTGATGTGAAACAAACCAGTATGGATGGGCACCTGATTACGAACAGATTTTTAGATTATGATGGAGTCACACAACGTTGCACAAGCAGTGAGCTAAAGGGAATCTAAAGTTGGCCAGTTACCAAAGCTCTCTTGTTTTGTCCAGTGCAGATGGCTTTCTTATAAGTCCTAAAGTACAACAACCGTTTGGGATGTCAAAATCATTCATCCTTTTAACAGAATAACTTGTTACTTTGAGACAGATTCTGGCTAAACTGGGAGTACATTGTGTCCACATGATAAAATCCAGCTGGTTCGCTGAAATGAGGTGAAAACCAAAACTTTCCTGGAGAAAGTTGTGAAATATTAAAAAAAAAGAAGAAATATTTCACTTATGCACAATGAAGTTTAGCTCTCATGCGATCCAAACCAACAAAATCGCTATAAGCATATAAACAAAAAAGCCCCACTGACAGATATCGTTAAAGTTAAAAAATGTTTTCTTCCACATGCTCAGCACATTTTACTGCTAATTTTAAAACTTTCACAACTCTGTTGGGTAATGGTTGTGCTTTGTCTTGTGATTCTACTTCTTTCAGTAAACTAGTGGAAAAATGAGGTCATCATTGGTGTAATTTGCTATCAGGTGAAACAATTTGCAATGAAAACTTGCTTAAGCAGATATTACAAAAATGCTAACCCCCCCACAAAAAAAACAGCCGGAACCAAATGCACATGAATAAACATTTACTATCTGTAGTTGTGGCACTTTGACTTGTGTCTGAGTTATTTATCTTAGGTTTTTAGGTTTTTATTGAAGATTCACACAGCAAGGCGTGGAATGATAAGGTCTAGTCATAAAGAAATAAAATCCAGGCAGATGTGCACTGCAGCTGAAGACGATAAACTCAGATTAAATCTGAAGGTTTACTTAATAAGTTACTAAAGCCTCAAATGTCAGTGAACCTAACCGGTTTTATTGGAATAACCTATGCTGACAAGAGCAGAAAATACTTTGTAACTCATTTAAATTATTTTATACTGATGTAAGTAAAGCATTACAGTAGCGTTATATGTGATACAAGTGTCATATTGTTAAAATCTTTGACTACATATCAACAATATGGCAACAAATCAGGAATCACATCCATAGTAATGATTATATTGTAATGACAATTGACAGATTTATAATTTTCATAAAGAAGATACAAAATATGGGTGTTTATAAACCATAGTGTGATTAAAATCAACTGATTTAAGTAATGTTGTTCTGTATGGCTGTAAATGGTTAAGTCCTGCCTAAAGAGAAAAAAAATATAGATCCTACTTCATATTTTTTTCAAAGAGGATTTTAGAAAAACTTGTTTTGATTGAGTGAGTCAACTAATGAGTTTCAGTCTCGTTTGAGACCAACTACAGTACAGAAGCAGTAGAGCTAACGCTGGTCCTTTTGGTTGAGGTCTGCTTTGCATAATTACAATTCTTTAGCTGTCAATTAAATGTGGTGTTCCCCAAGGCTCAATATACGGTCCCATTCCTTTCCATCTGTACATCCTGTCTCTTGGGGATGAGAGACACATGTCCATAGTTATGCAGATGATACTCGGTTTTATATTACTGTGTGTCCTGATGCCACAAAACCCTTAGATCCCATTTTCAACTGCATCTTTGACATCAGCAGATGGTTGGTGGAAGATTTTCTACAGCTCAGCCTGAACAAAGCAGATTCACAAGTTATTAGTCAGAGTTGGTTCTGACACCTCCCCCATGTGGGGTTGTGAAGGACCTTGGTGTTATCTTAAATTTAAAATCACACAGAATTCCAGGAGTGTGACAGTTTCTCTCTCAAGCCAGAGAATCTTGACTCACATTTTCATCATTAAAGCCTCATTCTGACCGATAATTCCTGGTTCAGTTCTAGCTAAATTGCCTCCATCGGTAATGTGCTCCTCGCTATGTGGGTGTGGAACTGGGTGGGAACTGATCTGTGGTCAGTCATTCTGTGCTCTCCAAAATGTCTCTTTGTATTTGTTCATTGCATCACATTCACTGCAATTAATACAAAACTCACCTGCATGTGTTTTTTTTTTTTGGAGAACCAAAGAGAATTTACATAACTTAGGTACAAAGGAAAGTCGCTTTGACTTCCAGTGCCTTTCAGGATTTATTTAAATAATATTTTTATGATTTTTTTTTTTTAAGTTTTGCATTCAAAGTTTTAAAAACAGACTTTTTTAAACCAAAGTCTACAAATGAGTGTTTTTGTAATTGATTTTATTATTTTTAACCATTTATTTCTTTTAGGTGTCAGTTGATTATTTTTG